GAAAACTTCCCCCTCTCTGTCTCACTTTGCTTGCACGAGAAAATAAGTCTAAGCTTTCTTATGCTCAATAACTTCGTTAACGAAACATTTGACGGGAGCTTAATTGCATTTGCAATCAATAAAACAAGTTAGTTGATCTTACTGCCTAGCATAATAGAAAAACGACAGCGCTTATTAATCCATTTTTTCAAGCATCCTTTCTAATTCGATTTTTTTGCTCGTTACGGCTTGGTGAGTGTTAAAATGATCTGAAAGTAATGTGTGGAAAGGGACATTCATGTAAAATAACTGCAAAAGTTTTATGTGATTCACTCACAGTTTGTGGTCAGTAAAATGTACAACAATCCATGTCCTCCAATGCGCTGAGCAGAACTTTACATTTGGTTCATCCAAGTTGAATATTTTAAAAGCTAATTTACCTCGTTATTAGATAACTATATAAGCTTCAAACGACAGTTAATTAGTTCAAATTGCATTTGCCCTGCAAACGACTCCTAAGTATGAAGGATGAACAAAGGATTTCTGTCGAATTTGGCGCTAGTCCAAAGTAAAGTTTGAAGGCGTGAGAACAGAAAAGATCAGTCGGTGAACTTTCCACCAACTGTCGCCATATCTTTACCTTGTTTTACGACAGAGGTGAACAGATTCGCATATTTCCTTCGATTAAGTCCAGATAAGGCACAGTCTGGGTTTAAAAACAATGAAAAACGTGCCAACAGTAGTGAATATTTGACCCGAACGTAGCTGGGCGATGTTGGCGCCTTTTATTATCACTTTTTTTAGACCAAAAGCAGGTGTGATCGGTACGTTTTACGCGTGTCATCATTTTTGGCACCTATACAAGAATGTGTAGCTCTCACATGTTTAGCGCATGTAATTATTTTGGGGTAACAAACAGATAAAAGTTCAGAAATTTTACTGTTCATTACAAGATTATGTAAACCTGGAGGTGACATCTTCATATTCACTGGCACTTGACGGTCTAGCTTATGTAAGAACTAGATCACTTTTTATTGAAATAAGAGAAAATATGTCGCTGAAAACTTAAGTAACACGTGTCAGAATCAATACACAAGCTAACCAGATCAGGTATCGATCACGATATCGACTCGTGAGAGTTACTATAAGAAATGGTAATATTGGCTGACACATTTTAAAACTTCTTTGATAACTGATTGAAAAGAATGTACGTAGATACCCTGCAGTAGACCTGCTTTCTAAATATATCTATTGTATCATAAAGCGATACTGTCTTTTATATTACAAATACCGGTACGTTTATAGGCCTTTAACAAACAATTTACCTTTAGTCGTGTTTTTAATAGAATTTAACCCTGAAAACTTTCATTTTGATAAACAGAAAAAAATGATGATTCAAATATTGCATGACTCCGTATTGTGTGATGAACTACTTCATTGTTGTATAAGTTTGTAAAAAAAAAAACACAGATATTCATTGTCTGTTGGTTGCTTTAAGTCGGTCAAATACAAGAGAGGCAGATATTTTATTTATACAGATAGTTTTGTTTTTCAGAGGAGGCGAATGAATTGATCAGATATGTCATTTTAGTTTTATAGTTTCTTCCTCCTCCTCCTCCATATCTCTCTCTCTCTCTCTCTCTCCACTGTTAGTAAACATGGCATAAAGTTACATTACAGACTTTGCACCCAATAACCTTATTTCCGGAACATGCTAAAATGTGGGACAGTTTCATAAGTTCCCTTCAAAATTACAGCGTGCAAGTAAGGCTTTATTAATTCCATTCTCTACCTTCACTCTGTTACAAAATACAAGAGTCATTGGTATTTACTTTCTAAAAGGAATTAGGTCATAGTTAGAGTTCGCTCCCCGATAACACAATATTATAAGGCGTCCAGAAAGAACATACTAAAATCAAGACATTATTATACGTCGATGTTTTATAACTCCTAATTTATAGAGACATTGTTATCACGCGCTCATCTAAAATCCAATAAGACTGTATGATTGTAGTAAATTACGCTTCCGTGTCGGACACATACCTGCCGCAGCACCGCAAAAAGCGACATTACACGTCCAATAAACCTCTTTTTTGGCTACCTGCCAAACAGCTCGACATATATTTTTATTCAAGCGAGACTAGCACTCGGTTAAACCATCCAAATAGTCTAGACGTCGAGGAAATGGCCATGGAACTGATTGTAATCAGGAATGCGCTTACAAAGAAAGGTTGTGGTTTTTCGTCCCGGGGCGGGACCCTCTTGTCATTTAGAGCAGCGAATCAGACCGCAGTATTAGGGACACACCTCCACTGTAGTGAATGAAGCGCTGATGCAAGCCGCATCTTGCGGCAGCAGGTGGTGTGGCAGATTGAAAATAGCAAGCTGGGTTCGGATATCTGGGCGATTTGAAGACTCAATTAAAACATTTGTGTTTATTAAACAGCTGCTGACGTCATCAGTGTTCATGTTCAAAGCAAAGCTTCTCACCTCGCGTGCCATTGCCATTGTACACGAATATTATAATAATATACCGATACATGTACATAATAATGAGAGAAAAGCCTGTGAGCATAAAATAATTGTCAATGAACGCAATAAAAGACGGGCCTAAGGTGTTCATTATTACACATCTCGTGGTGTTGGGATGACTGTGCAACACCAGACCATGAAACTAAATGTCATCCGAATTCCTACCTTCCTTAACACATGTTACGGTTCACGGAATTCTTGGACGCTCCCCAAAATCGTAACATCACCCATATGTATGATTCTCTACTACCGGGGGTTGGTGGAGGGATGAAGGGGTGGGTGGGGGGGGGTCGGAAGGAGAATGAGATGAGAGTGAAAGAAAGAATTAAGTAAAGTGTGTGTGTGTGTGTGTGTGTGAGAGAGAGAGAGAGAGAGAGGGCTGGAAGAGAGAGGTTATTTAATTATCTTCTATTACAAGAAAGTTGCTTTTGCTAGGCACTATAGAGTTGCAAATTAAAATAAGTGCATTTTGAAAGAACAAACTGAATAAACTGAAATCACACAGGTAGTTTCAATCTTTGACATCCCTCCTTCCACCTTCTTGATGTCTTTGTGTTGCTAGTGACATTATTTATTTCTATTTATTCATTTATCTATATTTGTAAAATACCAATCAAACCAATGTAGTTCACGGAGTACTTACCGGAGAGCTTACAATATTGTTATTGTAGGTTTTACAAGTTCTAATCTTTTTATCGGCAGTGAAAATGTTTGGACCCAAAGTTTGCATGTCGTCGCGAAAAGATATCCTATGTGCAAGTTTATTAATTCCTAAAAGCAAGTTTATTTATTTATTTATTTATATATTTATTTATTTATTTTGCTGTTCAGACATCTTCAAAAAGCACTTGATAAACCACTTCAACGTTCGTTGTGAATATTTTCTCTTTATTTTTTTCTCGCTCATTACTTACATGTGTAATTTATCACTATACACGTATATATTACACATACAGTGTATTTACCGCATCAACGATTTCTGTGTACAAACAATGCTGCGCGCGGCGAATAATTTTGTTTTATTTACCATATTTATGTCTCATATTTTATTATTATTATTATTATTATTATTTTGGCCCGGCGCTCATATCTTTACTTTCCCCATCAATTAAAATAACCCGCTGTCTTGTGAGCATTTCGTGAGGCGGACACTTCTTTCTCTCGGCTCTGAAACTGCTTCTGGGGGACCCACGTCCGTTCCCAGGGTGGGCACTTTCCTCAAACTGCAGTGACGATCAACATTTAAGTCAGTCACATACAATTTAACTTTTTCTGCCGTGGCTTCTTCATATGAAAATTCATCCAACCAAGATATATATAAAAAATCTTAGAATTGTTGCTATGTGAGTGAATGTCGGAGAAGGTGGGTGCGTGACTGAATGAGTTTGAGTTTGCGAGTGGATAAAAGTTCCCTTTCATCTTTCTTTCTTTCTTGAAGTGTTCGGTTTTTGTACATTGCTTGAACAACGCACAACATGAAGGTATTGTATTATTACATAGCCTACATCTGCCGTGTAGGAAAGAGGTTTACATATTCTGTAGGCCTATATTCTTGCTTGATTTAATTGGGCTACAGCAGATAGGCCCCTATCGCTCTGTGGTAGGCCTAATTTCAATACGGATATCAATGGTCAGTATATTGGCCCTTAGGCTTCTACGTATACAGTAGGCCTATGTGCAGGCCGGTATCCGGATTTCGGAAGTGTCAGGAAGTGGGTTAATTAAACGAAGAAACAGCAAGATATCTATATTTACTGAATTTCGAAGAAAAATGACCAACCGTATGCCTATTTGAAAGAACTGAGTCAAAGAGCGATAAATTCTATGTGGGTTCGAAAATATTTTAAGCTTTCTATGGATAGGAATCAGGATATCTGTGCATGACATTGTTTTTTCATGTATTAATACATGCAGGAAGGTGCTTGCAAACTATAATTATCAATCTGATGACGTCAGTTGTTTCATGATGAAACCGGGAAGCATGTGACGTACATGCACATGTACAGTACGTACACGTATTGTACCGGTACGCGTAGCCCTCAGCGTTAATTTTGCTACTAGCAGTGCATTTTTCTTTTGTTATTTCCATTACAGTACATCTACGTTGGTCCCTCTCTTTATTTAGCTTATTAAATCAAAGACAGAAATGAATAAAAATCAATAAATGTAGAAAAAAATTATGTTATCATGTCCATCTTCTCAAACTTCCGTTGGGTTTTGGATATGGTTTTACATGTAGATCGTGATCGTTGACGTCCGAGTTTTACCCTCCAAAGTTTATCGCACCCAGATGTCATGGCAGTATCCCAATAAAAGTGAAATGCAATTTCTACCTTGTTAGATAATTCTGAGTACATAATCTAGGATATCTAAACATACACAGTAGGCCTACTACACGTACCGTGTTTAGTCACCGTTTAGTGCAGTTGTACTGACGTAGTCTTTTGAGGAAGTGACGTCATGTGCAGTATCGGTTGATAGTATATACACATTCCCACGTGTGCTGCCGAAAATGCAAAATGTGTGGGGCATTGCGGCTTTTGTTACCGCTGTGAAAATTCTTCTTATTCCAACTTAGTGAGTATTTAAAACCCGAGTAACATACAATACAGTGACCACAAAGTGTATCTGTAAGCATCATATCAGGCTCGTAACAAGCAAGTTTCAGGAGTGAGTCCGAGTGTGTGTGTGGAAAGGGGCTTATCTGGAAGCTTTTTTTCAAGCGCCACATATACCTGCAGAAACATTTGATGGTAGTGCTACTCCTCGAAACTTCGTGCTGAGGGCTTAAGAACATGTATTGTGACAAAGGCAATGAAGGGAGGAGGGTGTCCCCTTCGCCTAGACCTGTCTGTTTCTAGTGCATGTGACTGACAATGGCTGTGTATATCTGATATGTGCTTAATAGTTTCACATAACCGTAAATTTAATGATAGTCAGTTAGCATGCCCCCTGTGCTGCAAAAGCTCTCAGATTTTCATTTTACCTCTCACCTCTTCAAGTTGCCAAAACATCTTCCAGTTTACTAAACATCAGAATACTGACCCAGAGGAACCAAGAAATCTTTACAGATTTGTAAATCCTCCATTGTATTAACTTTAAAAGTGGGGCATGCACTATGACAAGATATGTCAGTCATTGTGTTCACATTGTTGAAATTATATTTTCAGTCACTCTACTGACTTTGAGGTCCATCGTAATTGGTTAGCAGTAACCAATAGTTTGCCATTGTCAAAGTGGTACTATGAGGTATGTTTGGAGTATTTTTGTATAATTGTCAAAGTTAACAGAATTAA